CGAAAGGTCCTCGTAGTGATTATTGTGAACAAGAAGAGAACAAAATTTATTTATCGTTTGAAGAAAATTCTCATTCATTAGAAACAATATTAATTCATTTCATTCAAATTGAAACAACTTATATATCAAAAAGAACAACTATTTTTAAAAAAATATTTTCTACGAAAGAATCAATTGTTATCTCTTGGTCTGATCCAATCCAAGTAATCGTATTTTAATAGAAGATATGAAACAAAATATTTATTTTATTGATTCTCAAGATGCTGCATATCATAAAGTAAACTTAACTAAACAAGCTAAATTATCAGATCGTTGTCCACATATTAATGAATTATTTAATAAAATAATTGTTGATTATCATCTTCTTCGACGTATAAAATATGATCAAGAAGGACAACGTTTAAGTGATTGTTTTCAATTTAATCATACGATGAAATATGATTGTTTAGGAGAAAATGAATGTATGAATGATGGCCAATGTTTTCTAATTGGATCAAAATGTACGAAAAAAGCCACTTGTCTTTGTCCTTCATGTTCTTCTAGAGGACGATCTCAATTTACTGCAAGTAGATTCAGTTTATCCCTTGATAATATTTTAGGTTATCATATTTAACCAACAAGTCGTTTAATAGATCAATCAAATATTATCAAGACAAGTATTGCATTGAATATTATATTAATTATAATAGTTTTATTTACATTAAAATTTTGGATTCTTATTTTTGCACAAATGTCTCAAATATCAAATCGATCATTTTTAAATATTCAATGTTTGTTATTAGATTATCTACTTCGAATATTTATTCATATGGATCAATGATTACATGCATGTGTAGCTTGTGAAAGAGCAATAACAGTTATTAAGGGTACCCGTTTTAAGAAAAAGAAAAGCTTAAAAGTACCTAAATTTATTATTATTTTACTTTTAATTTTGAATATTTTTACATCTATTCATGAACCTCTTTATCGACAATCAGTTGATGAAATCCAATATACAATTTTGGCACTTCGAGCGTTTAGGGGCTGACCTCTTCCAGATCGAAATTTCTAATACTATCTCCAGCAGTAATGCAATCTAATCTAATGCTGATAAATCAGTAATAAAAAAATATTGCTTGGAGCGTAGTATAAACAACCATCCGACGTGGTCTAGTGGTTAGGATTTCTGCCTTTCACGCAGGAGGCCCGGGTTCGATTCCCGGCGTCGGAATCCTCTTTTTTTTAATAATATTTATTCTCGTTTGCAAATGATTTTTGTATGATTCGAAAGCATAATTTCTTTTACTGTTGAGTATAACATACTCTGATTCCATTTTTATTGTGTCTTGCTTTAAAACAAAACAGCATAATGAGGAGAAAGCAATTACGCTGTATGATTATATAACGTTACATGTGTTATTTTTCTTTCTTTTTTTATCTGTGAAATATAGTACTCTCAAGAACGTGCTAAAATTTTATCATGGACAGAGAAAAGTAATAAAATATTGTTTTTTACTAGTTGTAAAGTTTGTATGAAAATTTCGTGAGAAAAGAAAGTTTCTTATCAACAATCGACGATTATAACAATTAAGTAAATTGATTTTTGTTTATAATTGATGATCATTTATGTTTCTATGTGGTATGAAGTGGCATTTTTTTCTTGTTTCTCTTATTTGGAAGATATTTTTAGTGGAAGTTTTTTGTTTTGCTCTTCTTTCGTTCTTTGGAATTTCTTTTTTTTATCATGCTGCTTTACATCATATTAGATTTTGCCTTCCTTTACGTTATTTCGAATAAATATCATATTAAATAAAATATTATGTTTCTCAAGGCGGTTTTACTCTGTAAGTGCTTACTTAATTTTTTGCCATTAAAATTAACTAATGTCTACAATTAGACGCAGAATTGAAACAAAGTGTGTCTCATCTAGTCTATGTACGTTTACAGTCGATTTCACACGAAATTGTTAAAAGAAAGATGGATACGATTGAGAGCACACAAGAAACAAAGCTCGATGTTTTACGTGCGAAGAAATTAGACAATACTACAAATCGACATATTCTTGATCCAGAAACGAATTGTGCACGTCGGATTCTCCACCCAGTGACCAATGTTCTACAGGAGTTAGGCGATCCCGTGACCAATCTTTCAAATTACACATTGAGTGATAACGAGCATGCTGCTCTCATTAATAGTTTACGTCATGTTTATCCACGTAGAAAACTCGATGGACTACAGTTCGTATGCAACATGGAGTACTTCTATGCACGTCTATTAAATATTAAAACTGCGTATCGACATTACGAACAGAAACCATCTAATGAAGTTGTTCGTCATCAATTCACATCACGAATGTTCTCTAGCATGTAAATATAAACAAAGAACACGTTTTTGTGTAAAACGCCGAAACAGACGAGACTTTGAACATTTTCTTCACATAGCCACATCGCTAACTCATTTTATTCTCGATAATAAAGCTCATGTTCAGCATAATGGTGTTGCGATGGCATTTGGCTTCAATCATTGCCGATATCTTCATGTCGCATTTCGAAATGAAAGGTAGGACGAAACGTAATTTTCTTTCTTTTTACTGAGAATATTTCAATTAACTTAACTTTCGATTTATTTACTTAGAAGGTATAAATTTTGCATAACGAGTGCTAGCTTAGAGCCTATATACATTTATTCAGAAAATAAAAGGTGTTCTTTATTTCATTCATTTAAACAGGTAACCACGATCAATGGGTGAAACAAAATATGACTCGCGGCGAACATCTGAGTTTTACATGAACAGATAAAGCTTTACAAGTAAATACAGCATGTTTTGACACTAAAAGGAGATATTTTTTACCACTATCTTGTGTAATTTTTAGAAAGAGATCGATCAAACTGAACGTCAAAGGAAAAAGGATCAACAGAATATGGTAAAACAACAACATCAAGCAGAAGAAGAAACAAAGAAACAACAACATAAAGCCGAAAAAGAAAAAAGAAAACAGAAAAACTCGAATATTTAATATTTAAAACAAAATATTAATGTGTGATTCATTTTAATAAATATATAACCCAAAGGCATATTCATAAATCTCTCTTATACTTATCACTATTACAAGAATGAGAGAAGGAACATCAGAAAGAAGAACCTACTAATACATCATGTGTTTTTTTGTTTAGAGTCAAATGCCATAGACAAATGAAGAGAGCACTTTAGAAAAATAGGAGCTTTACCAAACCCTTAGAAAAAGTTCGGTAGATGTGAAAAAGATTGGAATTATGTTGAAAGTTTGAAAAAACGAATAAGAAAATCTATGAAGCCTTTTTGACTTTTGTAGAGCAAAAAAATGGATTTGTATGCATATACAAAACCTTCGAAGTTTCGTATTAAAGATAATAGTTTTATATTTTATGAATTGTGAATATCGTCGTACCGTTCTATATTACTCTTATAGAAGATCTTTGTACGAGACAAATATAAAAATTCTAATTAATGGTTTTTCGTTGAATAATTCATGTCCATACAGGAGGAAATATAATGAGTTCTCGAGGGTGGGTGTGGGTGTGGGTAGATGCCTTAGTTGAATATAAGATTTCATTCACACCCGCACCCTCACAAAAGCTATGCGTACATCGCATTTCAGTGAGAGCGTTACAGTCATATTCTATTTTTAACAATGATTTGATTTACAAATCTAAACATAATGAACAGATTGAGTTTTTACAAATTTTTCATAGAAATTTTAGGAAAAAATTTTAAATGAACTTTTCTTGGTTTAATCCATGGTTCAGCAATGAGAAGTGTTTCAATATTTGAACAATTGTTTCTAGCTTGTCGATTATCTTGATCGATTATTGTCAATAAAACATCATTGCGAATGACAAGTTCCACTAAATTTGGAAGATGAGCTCGATAAAGAAGTTGTTCGGCATAATTCATATGAATTTTATGTAAAATAAGTGTGGATAAGTAAGAAAATTCAATTGGATTTGTTATTGTTTTCTCTTCTTGTTCTAATTGATTAGATATTTCCAGTGTTCGAAGACGAGGTAAAGCTTGTGCAACATGTTCAAAAAAAACATTTTCAAAAGATTTAATATCATCATAAAGTAATAACATAGTAACATTTTTAAATGTATTTTTAATGTCGAAAAGTGGAAATCGATTAGAAATAAAATCAAGACGGTTACCAATAAATGGAAGTGAATAGATTTGACATTGACTATAATGATTATTGAAATAATCAATTGCATAATCGACAGATTGTTCTTCAATGAAGCTTTGAGAAATTGTTGTATCTATTTCAGTATAAGAAGCATTTCTTAATATTGAACGAACATGAAAATGAAACTGACATAAATTAGGCATATATGAAACGATATTTCTTTGTAAATGATGTCCATCAATAAAATTATCGGATTTAGTTAAGTCGATGGCTAATAATAGTGTTAAATGTTCGACGCTTGATAAATGTTGTAACAAAGGAAGAACATATTCTTTATAGCTTAGAATGTTACGATAGACCGTCATTGTTAATTGTTTCAAATTGGTACAACATATCTTAAGAAAATTAATTAAGAAAAAATATCAATTTGAGATATAACTTACTGATTCTATTTGAGACATACTAATTTCATCGCCTAAATAAACAGTTCTCACGCTTACAGTAAATGAGTGTACTGCTGAATCAAGTTGGTTTAATAAACGAACACAATCGGACAATTCACGTAATGTGATTGATATATGAGTAAGATAAGATGATTGAGCAAAGAATAATTTATCATGATTGATAGGTACTCCTAATGCAGCATCATTATCGAATGCAAAAGAGTGAATAGGCCGCATAATTGGCGAGCAACGGATAACTGATAAGATCGGATTAACGAATCTGTCTTCGATAAAAACAAATTGAGGTACAATTGAGAAAAGAGGTGTTTGATGTAATGCGCTATTGTAATGAGAACCTAAATTATATAAATATCAATGGTATATAAAATTATTTTTTATATTTAATTTTACAATTGTTTATAAAAATAAATGTTTTCACGATACATTTTGTAGTAGTTATGTGCCGCTTCTAGTCAAATATTACTTCAGTCTCCTTATTATGAACTTGATTTTAAATCAAAGCTATTTGTGTGAAACTTTCGACATTGTGTAGAAGTGTCAAAGCGAGTTAGATGTTGGATTCGACGAAAAAGCCTGGAAATAAGGAAAGAACTATCTTTCTATCTCATTACTCGCCTATTTTAATACTGGAATCGATAAGAAAATCTCATTATTTCTTCATTTTATATATTTACTTAGGCCATACACCTTAATTTCTCCAAGCAGTCAAAAAGAAATTAAGATATAAGGCCACTATTTTTGATATGACCCAAATAGAAATCTAAATAAATATAATAATTTACTTATTGTGACTGGTGTTCCAGTATAATGACGGCGCCGACCTGATAATATTTTCACATGTCTTAAATTAGGAAGAATTTCACTATCAATTGCTTTGACAGCAACGTGAATATACAGCAAATGTTTAATAGCGATGATCAATGATTGGATACAATTGTAAATGCAAGGCAAAAGATCTGAATAAAATCGTTTATTCAGGAATTCATGCGATGAACAATAATAATCAAAACTTAAATCAATTGAATAACATTTATCAAGAATAATTCGTTCCAAGCGATGGTTTGCAATGTTAACAATAGAACAGAGTAATATCCCTTCGGGTTTGACTTTATTCATTATAAATAAGATCATTTCATCAGGTAAGTCCAGAAATTCAACAAGATTTTCTATAGACAAAGAATAAAAATTAGAACATTATTAAACAATTGCATACTTCTATTGGATAAACAGTTCATTGTTTATTTGATATGCTCGTCGATATATTATATATATGTATATATTGTTATACATATATATATAGATATATGATCGCATACTCACTTGACGAGCATTGTCTGAACAAGAACCAATGAAAATTGAGTAGATTCTAGTTATCTTTAAACACAGTAATCACTCATTCGTGTAAACTACACACACATACGATACTCAATGAGTGTAAGGATGCTGTAATTAGTGTGTTTAAAGTGAACTAGTGACGTCAATTTATGTGCCAGACGAAGTTGAGATTTAGAAAAAATAAAACAAAGTTTTTTAACAATCTAAAATTAAACGTTTAAAAAGGGCAAAAAGAAAAAAACTGGTCTAACAGGGTGTGGGTGTTGTATTCTTCTCAGGTGCAAACCTACACCCCATACACTCACACCCACACCCCGCTCGCGATATTTTATACAATACTCGTTTCTTTGCAAGAGTTTACCTTCTATTAATAAGATTATAATAAAATTAGTCTTCGTATCGATAAGTGTTTCAAGTAATTCAAAATTTATTGTTTTTAAAGAAAACTTTGAATCAAAATACGACTTAAGCGCTTGAATATTCAGTAGAGGTTAATAACAACATCAAAAGCAAAAATATAGGTCTTTATCATGTTTCATTTTGTTGTGCTCATAATTCAAAAACAGCATTGAAAACCAAGACGCGATATATATCCAATAAGAACAACAAAAACCATAGTACCAGTAATTTGAATACGTCGTCCTTTATTTTTTGTAGTTGTTGTCTTGCTAGGGGTCGACTTTGTTACTGAAGTTGATAATAATTGTTGATTCGTTGTGAATTCGAATGGTGATTGTTGATCCGTTGTGAATTCTAATGATGATTGTTGATTCATTGTGAATTCTGATGATAAGTCTTGCTCAGTTATATATTTCATATCTGATGTAACTGGTAGCTTCACTGCAGTCGTTGACTTTGCTGAATTGTATTTGAACATTTCGAGTACTGGAAATATATTGTAGTGATCATCGATTATACTTTTTACTTCAAGCATGATGTTCATCTCGTTACATTTATCATATTGACAAAGCATGTACATTCGATGAGCATCAGGATTTAGATCGTGTAAATCAAACTTAAGCGAAATTTGTAATAAAACTCCGAATCCTTGATTTTTATTGCAGGCTTGTTCCCACTGGCCGTTATCAATTTCAGTTTGTATATAACTTCCGAAACACTTTCCAGCACGACATTGTGTAACTGTCGAATCGACAAAGCATTGTCCTACATTCACACAATATATAGATCATCATATAAGAAAAGCTTATCTTTGAAGCAACTTTCATTTATGAAGAAAAGTAATACCGGAAAAGAACTAAATCTGATCTCGCATTTTATAGTTTCACAGCTACCTTTTGAAAAGAGTGATGGTAATCTTGCATTATTAACTTTCTTTAGAAAGCTATTCTGATGAGTCCACAGCTTTCAACTTAACTATCTATACGTTTTTCTAATCTAATGTTTGTGAATTGATCAAAAATTAGAAAAAATGACATGCCTACATTATTTCTTATACACAACATATTTGATCAAATAAAAATCATGTATGATATGAAACGTGATTGAGAAGACAGTGTGCACAGTATTATTAAAAAAAGAATGAAAGTCTATGAACTGTCAAAGCAGCATGAATAACATCACAAAATAATTTTTTCTTAAAATACTTAAGAAAATATTCATTACACAACGCATGACAGACTACCAATATCAAAACGTCTAGTTTAATACAGGTATGATTTTGAAAAATTCATGCGTCACAAACGAACATAAAGTTGTCTGATTTAGTACTGAACGTCGATCGAATATACTACCTATTTTCTGTTAGAAATAAAATGCAGTTGTATCACTTAATAATATACTGATTCGATGAGATTTTCTTTAATAATCTAGGAAAATCATTTATCTTATCATGAGAAAAACACATTGAAACTATTTAACAAGTTTTCAGAAAAGAATAAAATGTTTCTTTATTAAGAATAATAAAACACTCACCTGCTTCTTTACCATAGCCCATCATTAATGGACGAATCTTCTGCTCGAATTCTATGTAATCGATTTTAAATAACCAATTGATATGATCTATCAGAAATTGTTTGTCACATTCGTTGCCAGAACATGCATATTCAACGAAATTAGCAATTTCAAAGTTACTAGTACTATCTGGAGTATTCCTAGCTAATGTCATGAAAGAGATCATCGCATCATTTAAATCGCTATCTTCGAACTGCTGACTAAATTGTATTTGTATGCGCTGAAATGCACTAATATAATCGATAGCAATTCTCATGCGACATAAACGTCTATCGTCAACTTCAATAACATGTAAGTTGCCAATTGTTTCTTGAAAGTCAGCAACATTAAATTCAGCCACTTTCACTTCCAGGTGACGATTAATAACACACTTATGACCGGAACTGGTTGCACAGATGATAAGCAGGATTACCAGTACTATTGACTCCATTAATCAAGAAGAAAATGCTGAAATGAATTGCGATTACTTGTAAATGACGTGAGTCTCTATAAAACTTCGTGGATGATATAGCACAACAGGTTTTGTAATAAACTGAGAAAAACAACTATTCAAACACGACATGTCACATCGATGAGAGTAGATATATCATTATAGAGAAGCAGCATGAAGGAGTTAATAAAGTTTTTATTAATATGCAGTTCAGTATTAAGATCATTTCTTTTCCAACCGATAGTATCTCGAGTCGAATTACGTATAAATCTTGTTGTTAAAATTTCGTTTGATCAATGATCTTGGAATTTGCATCAAAACAAATCAATTTCAACGAATGAAGATCGAGCTACAAACTCAAACAAAATCTTTTTATTGAATTCTCGTATGTTGGATGATATTTTTCTAATGTTAACCTCACGGTTGACTCGAATTAATTCACTTGAAATAAAAGAATAAACACAATACTTTTTAAATCTTGTGATTATTTGAACTTGATTAAAATTTCTAAATAATAATCAACAAGAACAAAAATTTGACGAAAAATGGGTGTGGATGTTTCTTCTTATTTTGGTAGATTTTCATTTTGAAATGATATTAGTAATTATTTTAATGATTATAAAAGCTATAAAATCATGTTTATGAGGTGTGTTTTAAGACAATCAATTAATGTATTATAAAATATCGATAAATACTTCAACATGTAAAATAAGAATTTTATTTATTGAGTGAATATTAATTCTTGGAGCAAAAGTCATATTGACAGATATCTCTGACTAATTGAACACTGTAAATACCTTCAAAAACTGACTTACATTTGTGTCTTATATTTGAAATTATACAGAACGAATCATTGCCTAATATTTTGAATATAGATTTTTGCTATCGAAATTAGTATTGACGTTTAATGAATTACTGAGAAATGGTAAATAATATATCTTAGATTTAGTGTATTTTTCAAGTTGTATATTTCATGGTATGACTAGAAAATAAGTATACAAATGATTTTACATTCTTTAAACATCAAAATTGACTGTTGTAAGTTACTTTATTTATTTAATGAATGAATAAAAAATGTCAAAGGCAATATAAGAGGATATGAAAACATTCGTCTGAGTATGTAAACAAATTTTTTTTAATACAATTAATAACTAGAACTGAATGAATGAGTAGTGAAGCAAATAAATAAAAATGATTGAATGATTTAAAAATTGAATTAGCTTAGATTATCAGAATTAATTTCCTCATTTGTTGACCTATTGATCAAAGAAAATCTACCTGAGAAAATCATTACATAAATTGAAGTGAAGTCTTAAAAGTTCGTACTTACGTAAATAAAATTTAGTATTCATTTGTATGTATCCATAAGAGATCAAGAACAAAAGTTAATGCGAGCTCTTAAATCTTAGATTTAATTTCATGTAATCAATCTTTATTTCGAATGCTTTTAGTTCTACGATTACTTATTCATACTTAAGAGGTAAAGTCAATAAATA